TGAATAACCCCAGGGTACTACGAAGGGTACTATTATCAATTATAACCCTTTGTCTTTCTTATGGCTTGCGTTTTATTGCCTATGAAATATTGAAACCGTTTTCACTATAAACTGATATAAAGAATATATTTTCTTGGTATTATCTGATATGACCGCAATATGGAGTCATCGCTCTCCACCAAGATAGTAATAATATTGATAATGAAGAATGTATCCGCCTAGTGTTTTGTAATAACAAGTAACAATATTAAATAGGGTGAAACTAACAAGAATGGAGATTGTATCTACCCAGAGCATTATGGGAAACATTAATACGACTGAATAAATTTTGCAAGATAATAATAATAATAATAATAATAATAATAATAACTGTCTTACAAAACCACAACAATCGGTCTTCAAGGATACCTGGAAACTAAAGAAGTCTGAATGATGGTCTGTATCAAAGAATATGGAAGAAACAAGAAACTTTATTCAGTAATAAAGGAAGCCAACTAATTCAAGTGGATGAAGAATTGCAAATAAATCACAAAACAACTACTGCAGCGGCAAAGAACCTAAAAAAGAAAGCAAAAGTAATTGCAATGTACCAAGTGCAGAAACGATGGCAAGATAAATCTTTTCCTGGCCAATACTCTGGTTGGGTCAAACGATCTGATGCAGACAAAAACCCGTATTCATCCGAAGGTTTTATTCTTGCTGAACAGGACCAATGCTTGCTAACTAGAAATTACCAAGCAAGCATACTGATAATCTGTGTTAACCTAAAATGCAGATTCTGTTATGAGTACCCAGAAACAATTGACCATATTGTATCACGGTGCACGCTATTAAGAGCGGCCATTTAAAAAATTCGGCATAATTTTCGAAACATTTTAAAGACCTATGTTTCCATAGATAGATAGATAGATAGATAGATAGATATGAACAGTCCGTGATAGATAGATAGATAGATAGATAGATAGATAGATAGATAGATAACCATAATTTTAAATCATATGCAAAAAAGATGATAAGATAAACCTTTACCTGGCCAATACTCTGCCCGTGCCAAATGATCTGCTGTAGACAAACATCATACTCATCCGAAGGTTTTATTCTTGCTGCACAAGGCCAATGCTTGCTAACTAGAAATTACCAAGCAAGCATACTGATAATCTGTGTTAACCTGAAATGCAGATTCTGTTATGAGTACCCAGAAACAATTGACGATATTGTATCAAGTTGCACGGTATTAAGAGCGGTCGTTTATAAATTTCGGCATAATTTTCAAAACATTTTCAAGACGTATGTTTCCATAGATAGATAGATAGATAGATAGATAGATAGATAGGTATGAACAGTCCGTGATAGATAGATAGATAGATAGATAGATAGATAGATAGATAGATAGATAGATAGATAGATAACCATAATTTTAAATCATATGCAAAAAAGATGACAAGATAAACCTTTACCTGGCCAATACTCTGCCCGTGCCAAATGATCTGCTGTAGACAAGCTCTATACTCCTTCTTATTTTTTTTATTTTTGCTGCACAGGCCAATTCTTGCTAACTTGAAATTACCAGGCAAGCATACTGACAATCTATGTTAACCTAAAATGCAGATTCTGTTATGAATATCCAGAAACAATTGACCATATTGTATCAAGTTGCACGGTATTAGCATCGACCGAATATAAAATTCGGTATGATAGGGTGGGCCAATATCTGCACTGGAACATTTGCAACTTTTACGGGAAAGAAACAGCAATAAATTTGTAAGAATAGCACCCAGAGACGGTTACAAACATAGGATCTGTAACAATTTTATAGTCCTTTACAATACGCACAGACACAAGTAATCAAATCAAATTGCCCAAACATAGTGATCAAAGACCGCAAAAACAGAATGTTCATTCTTATCGACATTGCAGTTCTTGAAGACTGTAATGTATCTTTCTTCTTTTTTGTAATACTTAAGGGGTTGGGGATAAAGGCAGGTTGTTAACAAAATCAACAATCTCTTCCGAATTTTTTCAATCAAAGCCTTTTTTTTAATTAATCTATCTTCCATCTTTGGCCAGTGCTGATTTCAATGTTGGACGATAGATTAATTAAAAATTAATATCGAAAAAGGCGTCGTCTATGTGAGCAACGTCGAAGGTTTAGAAAAAATATGAACAAAATGGACACTTATGCTTAACATCAGGAATAGACAATTGGAATTTCTAGGGAGCATAATGAGGGCTTAGAAAATTTAATACTCACAGGATTGAAACAGGAAAACAAAGCATAACCTACCTAGCGGGCTTGTGTAAATGGATGTCGGAACAAGAGTTAGGGAAGATCACAAAAAGACAAAATCTATTAAGAGATACAAATTATAGGAAATTGTAGAGTCATGATCGTCAACGCCCTGAAGGGACACGGCACATGGAAGAAGAATATCTTTCAGTTGATTATTTTTGTTTTGTATTGCAGTAGTAGTCACAGATGTAAGTCATGAGTTGTCTGAAGTTCTTTGACGAAGCATTTTCAAAATATTTGATTAGATTTTCTTTGATATTGTTACTGCTTATTAAATCAGCCATATTGTCTGACAATCTACGCCTACTAAGACAGTCACATTAAATGGAACGAAATTCCCTTGTCGTAAACTGCTGAACTGTAATATCAAGCCTCCTACATGACTGAATGCTGGACAATTTTCTCGCAGAAGAAGAGTAGACTTGTGGCCGTAGAAATGTCGTTATGAAGAAGGAAGCTGATAATACTATGGAGCAACGAAGAAAATAGAAGAAAAAATGACGCATATATAGAAACAGAAACGGAATGTTTATATTTCTGGAACTCATTATAAGACATGCAAAATTTGGTACTCACCAAAGTGAAGCCAAGTTTGAAACATCGAGTCACATCATCATCATCCTGCGGCCTCAGCCGAGATTGAACTCACTACACCTCTCCAGTATTCCCTATCCGCCATAGCTCCTAAAAGATCTTCCTTAGGGATCAATGTGTCTCGTTTTATCCTATCTGGAAAGGTTAACTTGCGTGATCGATTGTCAGATGATGGTGTCTCCAGAGTACAAATGATGACACAAGTTCATCTGTGGCACGTGCACAATGCCCGGCGAACTGGACACGTCTTTTTGCAAACTAAGGTTGATACTCTCAACAAGTCTCCATATATCATTTCTAGAGTTGGGCGGTTTCGCCATGAGAGATTAAGCACTCTTCTTAAAAGACGTGTATAACATCCATCAAAATGGCGCTGTTGTTTTGCTGAGAGAGTCCAAGTTTCAGAGCCATAGGGTAAGATTGGCTCAATAAGTACGCGGAAAAGTTGGATTTTGAACTGACGAGCAAGATTGGATTTCCAGATCTTATCCATTTTGTTACAAGCAGTCCATGCTATGCCTTTTCTAATGTTGAAATCTCTCTCGGAGTTCTTGATGTGTGATACTAGATACTTGTAGTCTTCGACACATTTGAGGATGTTGTCTGAGAGTAAACTATTTAACGAGCATGTGTAAATGGATGGCATAACAGGAAGTGGAAGAGATTGTAAGAAAACCAAAATTGTTAAGCACTACAGATGATAGGAAGTTTTGGAGATCTGTGATCGCCCATGTATTAAAAAGACATAGCACCCAAAAGAAGATCCTTAGGAATAAGCTTGCTGATATGTCCAAGAATGCCCATCATCAGACGAAATTCATATTTAGCCATGTAGATACATTCTTCCATAAACAATTTTTAGTATTAACGGCACCATGTCAATTTTTCTACGGAGGCTCATCAGCAAACGAAATTCTTATTTAACCATAGAGCCATATACAATTTTCTACATGCTATATTATTTCATTTTTTACATATAATAGAATCGTAAAGAGACATTTGAAATTTCTAAGACGTATGAGGAAATTTGAAGAATTTGACACTCAAAGAACATCCTCAAGGCAAGTGGAACAGAAGAAAGCAGCGACCAACCTAACTAACAAGCTTGGGTAAATGTCTTTTCAGAACAGAAAATGGGAGAGCTAACGAAAAGACTAACGTTAGTAAGTGCTACAAAAAATAAGAAGATGTGGAGTGCCATGATCACTCACGTTCTTAAGTGACATGGCACATAGAAGAAGAACAAGCTTTAATAGTCTTGAAAGGTCAGATTACTTACGTGAAGAATTGTCGTTAATTTGTAACTCGATTTTCTTTGCATCTTCTTCATCTGGACATTTCGATGAAAAAGCAACAAGAATAAAAATTAAAATTAATAAACATCAATATTATTGTTTGACTTTTATATAGATCAGTTGCAAATGTAATTTGAATCTAGTTTCAACCAATTGCTACAGAGTATTCTTGCGTTATTTTCATTTTATTTCGTGTGAAAAGTCTTCTGTTGTTAAGAAATAACAAAATGATTAATAAACATTTGAATAGTGGGAAACCGTTATTGCGCATGTATTGAGAATCAGTCGTTAGTCACCATTCTTTTTGATTACAATTATAAATGAAGTGAAAACCCAGACAGACAAATTTTGAGTTCGGATATGAATTCGGTGAATCGGAAAAATTCAAAGAAAAAAAGCGATCATACGAATCATAGATTTCATTTCTCGGGTGCAGAAACAAATTTATATACTCAAACAGGAAAAAAAAAACTGCTATTTTTTTCTTCTTCTAATATCTATCTATCTATGCAAACATACGTCTTGAAAATATCTTGAAAATTATGCCAAAATTTATAAACGGCCGCTCTTAATAGCGTGCACCGTGATACAATATGGCCAATTGTTTCTGGGTACTCATAACAGAATCTGCATTTCAGGTTAACACAGATTATCAGTATGCTTGCTTGGTAATTTCTAGTTAGCAAGCATTGGCCTTGTGCAGCAAGAATAAAACCTTCGGATGAGTATGATGTTTGTCTACAGCAGATCATTTGGCACGGGCAGAGTATTGGCCAGGTAAAGGTTTATCTTGTCATCTTTTTTGCATATGATTTAAAATTATGGTTATCTATCTATCTATCTATCTATCTATCTATCTATCTATCTATCTATCTATCTATCTATGTCTGTTCATATCTATCTATCTATCTATCTAACTAACCATCTATGCAAACATGTGTCTTGAAAATGGTTATCTATCTTGCTTAGGGCCAGATCACGTTGAAACATTGGTTCCCGTATAATCACCGTGGTTATGTAATGTCGAGCCTGGTCATTACCTAGATGAGTTACCGCGTGAGAATACAAGATGCTGTAAATTTCGATGTGCGGGTGGTGTAATGGATAATGGCTCGGAATTGGTAATGAGAGAGCCGAGTTCCAAAAATGTGTTGCGTTCGTTATATTAACTTACCCGCAAATACCTTCGGGAAAAGTATGAATCCATCCCTTATCTTCACAGATATGGGATAATTAGTAAGAATTCTACTACTAAAACTATTATTATCCTCAAAAAATAAAAATTACGTGCAAGATATTTATATTTCGGCATTAAATAACATCTTTCTCTCTCTCTCGCTCTGTGTCTATCTATTTATCTATCTATCCATATTTCTTTCCATGCCACTTTCCTTTCTTTGCCAGCCCCTTTTCTCTCTCTCTCTCTCTCTCTCTCTCTCTCTCTCTCTCTATATATATATATATATATATATATATATATATATATATATATATATAATTAAATAAGGGTCCACGTGTGGTTCTTATATTATAATAAATAGGTTCCTTAATAAAATAAAGGCAAACGAAAGGGTATCAATGTATTCAGTACGAAAGACATTTATTAAATACTAGCAGTAGAGACCGGTGTTGCCCGGGGATGTAACAGTAAGAGATAGATCAAGTATCGACCATCATAAAGACTGAAAAATAAAATTGACAAAGATTATTGTTTAAGGTTGACGGACACGCATGTCTTAATTAGTTGTTTTTTTTTTTTACGAATTGGTCAAACCCAAACTCAAACAAAAACATTGTTTTCAATCGTTAGGAATCTACCGATTGAATAGAATTTTATTATAAACAATTGTCTTGTAAATGGAATTTTTAAAGCATTCTGAATGTAAAAATAAAGAAAATAGTGTGCAAGACAATAAGAAACACTACCTGCCAAAAAAAAGTGAAGTTTTGTTGAAATCGGTTGAAAAATGTAGGAAATCCGATCCCATATATAAACGAACATACACACACACACACACACACACATACACACACACACAAACAACCAAACTGGGTTTTATAATAAGTATAACTCGATAACTCGATATTAATAAGTATAACTTGATATGAGTTGTCCCCCTTTCATTAATGCCTCTTAATCGTGTTTTCAAATTGATTTCGTGCAAGAACAATTGTGCTTTTCCAATTTTTGGCGCTGTCAGAACCACCGCAAGGTAATTTTACGTAGTCCTGTGAAGTTTTGTTGAAATCAGTTGAAAAATGTAGGAAATCCGATCCAATATATAAACGTACAGACACACACACACACACACACACACACACACACACACATACACACACACACACACAATCTGCGTTTTATAATAAGTAAGATTAATTATTAAACACAAGACAGAAATGAAACACGGAAATTAAGGTTCTAAGTCCGGAATTTTCGGGCACGCCTCTGTCATTCATCATTCATATATATATATATATATATATATATATATATATATATATATAGTCTAGATACCATAACAAAGAGCTCATGTTAACAGTCGCCATGAAAGTATTTATAAAAAAAAAAGGCACAGAGAGGCAACCTTACGGCGTTGGGAAAAGGAACTGTAGCCGAGCCGCAAGATCAAGTCTAATAATATTGGTGACTATTCTTTGTGTGTGTATATATATATATATATATATATATATATATATATATATATATATATAATAATTTATTTAAAAAGATTCCATCGCTACATAATTATATATATATATGATATCATATATATATATATATATATATATATATATATATATATATATATATATATACATACATATATATATATATATATATATATATATATATATATATATATGTATGTATGTATCTATGTATGTATATAAAAAAAGAAAGAACAGTAAGATATATAATCCGGTGTTCTTAGAGATATTTTTATTTTTTACAAAATAGTGCTCAAGAATTTTGCCGTTAACAATAAAATTTAAAAAAAATCCAGACGACATGCTTCTAACGGATGTTAGATTTCATTGAAAAATACATCCCTACCCCCAACCAAAACGTAGCTAATAACTTATACATTAAAATACAGACATAATGAATAACCAGACACCCCTTGTCTAGTGAAGTGGATTTATCTGTAACCTTGGAAACATGAATTATGATTTTAACTGTGTCTTTAAAACCCAGTAATTTTAAAAGTTACTCCAAAATTCGCTTGAGGATGAAATGGAACTAATGTCTTTAATTTAATTACAAAATTAAATTCGGGGCTTTTAGCTTCCATTTTTGAAACATGGTTAGAACTGTGTAGCAAAAAAATGTTATTTCTCTCGACTATTTATATATAAATAGTCAAGAAAAAACAACGCATATGACCTGATGAATGCGTCTAGCATGAAACAACCTATCGCCTCTGAGTGTTGACCTCAATGTTCACTTTTAAATAAATATATATATATATATATATATATATATATATATATATATATATATATATCGTAAAATACATCTATTAGAAGCTTTTTACATATCATCAGTGATCTTTCTAGCCGAGGTTCAGTAGGCGTTTTTCAACATCATATCTCCTCCCCAAGGTAACCCAGCTGATACTGATCGGGTATCGACTTGTGTACCTTTCGTTAGCTACAGTTTTTTTCCATCTTTATAAGTACCCACTGCAACTCACCTTCGCCATTTCTAGCCTACTCACAGATAACTTCCGGTTCACCAGCAATGTCCGCTCTTCCATAAAAAAAGGAAATAAACACACACACAATTTCTATCTGGTCAGAAACATGGCGGCTTACTCGGCTTGAAGTGGTAAGGAACGATTTGTTTCACCTCACTGAGACATATACACATACATTTACAAATACTAAAACGCATTCAAGAATCACGTTCCATTTCCGTTCATGTTAATCATTCGCCCGAAGGAAAAGAGAGAGAGAGAGAGAAAAAAATTCCTCCTTCCTTTTTTGCTTCTTGACCCCCCCCGTATCACGCATACACACATCAATGCCGACACGCAAAACATAAACAAATAAATAAAATGAATAGGTATATATATATATATATATATATATATATATATATATATATATATATATATCTTTCTTCATGAGTCTTTTTTCAAAAAATATCACTTTCTTTCTATCTTTCTTTTTCGTTCTTTCTTGCTTTCCCTTGTCTCTTTTTTCCTTTTATTCGTCCTATGAGTATCCAGGCCCTCTTTTCTCATTATTTGTCCCAGAAATTCATCTGCCTCTTCCTTATGTTAAGCATAAGCTTCCTCCTTGTTTATATCCTGTCCTAATCCTCATCGTTGCTCACATGTTCGGTCCATGATATCCTTAGCATGTTTCCGTAGAACCACATCTCCGTCGCCTCGAGTCTCTTCTTCATCTTTGAGGAAATCGTCCAATATTCGCTGCCATATAGGAGGACAGTTGACACGTAGCAGCTAGAGTGCTCTTTTGTTTGTCAACCATAGAAATACACCAGTTTCACAGTACTCTTTACTCTTTCTATTTCTTTCTTCGTCTTTTATCTGTTATTCTGTCTTTCTTACTTTATTTTCAATCTCTTTCTTTCTTTTTTCTTTCTTTTTCTTTTTTATTTCTTTCTTTTTATTTTCTACACTTCTTCATTTTTGCTCTCATTCTATCATTTCTGTTTCTATATCAGTTTCTTTCTTTCTCTTTTTCTTTCTTTTTCTCTTTTTCTTTCATTCTCTTTTTCTTTCTTTTTATTTCTTTCTTTTTACTCTTTTTCTTTCTTTCTCTTATTCTTTCTTTTTCTTTCTTTCTTTTTCTCTTTTTCTCTCTTTCTCTCTTTCTTTCTTTCTCTCTTTTTCTCTTTTTCTTTCTCTCTTTTTCTCTTTTTCTTTCTTTCTTTTTCTCTTTTTTCTCTCTTTCTCTTTCTTTCTCTTTTTCTTTCTTTCTTTCTCTTTCTTTCTTTCTTTCTCTCTTTTTCTTTCTCTCTTTTTCTCTTTTTTTTCTCTTTTTCTCTTTTTCTTTCTTTCTTTCTTTCTTTCTTTCTTTCTTTCTTTCTTGTTAAAAGACGCACAGTAAATGAAAAACTTAATAACAAAAGATAAAACTGAATTCATGTCTTGTTCGCCCATTTCGTCATTATCATTTATTTAATATTAGTTCACTGTTCTCTTCTCACTTGATAAAAGAAACAGAAATTGGTTTGGGGAATTGAAAGGGAAAGTTAGAATTTCTCGGGGAGATTTTTAAAATTTTTAGACTTTTTCCAATTTTAAATATATATTTAGACAATTTTTACAGGATTATCTTTTTTAATTTAAGTTATTAATAAATATTAAAAATCAATAAATACACGGAATAGCTTTAGCAACGAAGAATTAAAATGAAGTTATGTCTTTTGAAAAAAAAAATGGCGTCCATTGATAAAAATGAAGACATTTTGTGCAAACCAAATAAAAAAGAAAGTATCACATTTTCTATCTATTAACTGATTCATTTCCTTAAATAAATAACCTCCCTCATCGACATAAGTTCTTTGACCTATCTGAAGAGAACTTTTTGAAAGGATTTTCAATTTCATATTACTGCTTTATATTTTTCTTTTATGTGTATTGTCCGTTCAGGATATGAGTGGTCATATCTCTCCACAACTTCCTATCCTTGTTATCTCGAAGCAATGTTTTTTTTCTTCTTCTTATACCTTCACGTCCTTCTGCCATTCATTTGCACAAGCTCGTTAGGTTATTCACTCTTTTTCTCTGCCCGCCTTGCTTACAATATGCCCCGTGAGGGAGAAAGTCATCTTTCCTCATGTGTCACAGCAATTCCAACTGCCTCTTTCTGAGTCAAGGTGCAAATATCCTTTTTGTTTTCTTTTTTTTTTTTACATGTTTCGTTCATAGTATTCTCAGTATCCTTCTGTTACATCGTCTCCACTTCATTCATTTTTTTAACGATTAACTTTCACCCTAATGTGAGTGACACTAAAATTCAAAGGTTTACTGAGAGTGAAAGAAAATGAGAAAGACATTGGTAAGGAAAAAAGGCTATAAAAGAAGGGGAATCTGGAAGACAGATGATGATGATGATGATGATTGATGTTGCACTTAAATTTTTTACGCTTGTCGGTGACAGGGAAGCAAAAAGCCGGAAAAGATTTCCATAGCCGAGAAGTGCTAGAAAACACACACACACACAAAAAAAAAAAAAAAAAAAAAAAAACAAGAAAAAACTAATGAAATAGAAATTAAATTTCATTTCGCTATTTCAACAGTAAAACGATGAGACCTAATTGCCAATCTAGCAGTACATTTAAATATATATGGTCGAGGTATCAAGTAGCAAAGCCCATGAAAAGAATTGCCGTGAAAATATTAATAGAAAAGACAGAAGGCAGCTATGTGGCGGCGGTGTAAAAGTTATCGAAGCCGAGAGTAGATTGCGAGTGATTTCGCGCGCCAAGCATTCTGCTTTATCAGCAGTAAATCGCAACACTTCAAAGCGATTGAAGAAAGTGGGGGGTTTGAGAATTTATCCCTTTTGACGACACACAGAGCCGTCAGTAATCACGAAAGCCAAACTTGTGAGATGGTTATATGTTGTCTTATTCTATCAGCGACCAGTGTCTTAGTCTAGTCGAGGACACGCTTACAAGTATTATGAGCGGGCGTAAAGAGGCGTCTTTTATTATCCGAAATATCACTTTGGTATAGTCGCGAAGAAGGGATTCCTGTTGGTTCTAGCGGCTGAACAGGCAGCAAAGAAACAAGGAAAAAAATGACACATCCTTGTCATACACTCCTTTCTATTTTTGTACGTTTACCGAATTCATTTTCTATTCGTATGCAAGTGGCTTGCTGTTAATATATCTTCTGAATGATTTTATAAGCGTAGCTTACATGTGGCAAAAGCACATGGCACAAGGCCGTAAATACGGAGCACCAAGTGAGTATCGAACTTGTCAGTTGCAACTGATCTCCAAGACAAACTTGCTAACCGTTGGATCATGTATAAGTACGTCGAATGTTTCCTTATAATGTAACGGCTAATATTACCTTATCATTTTTTTAATGTAACTTTTACTTACGTCCATTTAAATAAAATATATCTACGGTAGCATTTCGCAATATGAGATAGGGAACGTATAATGTTACTTTCGAGCATAATGGTTACAAATAGTAAAACAATGACAGTTTATACGTTAAAGGTTTTTTTTTTCTCCTTTTGCAATTCTCTGTAGATCACGTCATCAAAATATTACTTATAAAGCAGCGACAAACATTGAATACCTACAATATATTTGAAAGGCATGCTGGTAAAAAAAAAAAAAATTACGCCTGGTTTTAAGTTGGCATTCATTAATAATTCGTGTATTCGAATTGAAAATTTGATTTACAAGAGAAATGGAGTGTTATGGATTCTGTTGAAAGTAAAACGTTGATAATTTTCCCGGAGGAGTAACATTCATTGAATGTTGTGGAATTAAAAATGGCGGCCAGATACAGAAGAAGTAAAGTTAAAAGAAAAAAAAGAAAGAAAATTTGAAAAAGAAAGATGAAAAGAATGCAAAAAAGAAAAAAAAAAAGAGCGGATTTGATGGAAGGAAAGAGAGGAGATAAAAGAGGAAGAAGGTGTTTAAGCATGAACAGAAGGAAAAGAAAAATGGTCGGAAAAGAAAACTAGACAGACGTGTGTAAGAGAATAACAATAGAGAAGAAAAGAGATAAACAGCAACTTACATAGTCAGTTAAGTGTTGTACGTGATACATGCTTAGGCGATAATGTCTCTTTCGATACATGAATGACGAAGCAGAAGATTTTTGTCGCAGTAGGTTGCGGTAGACTGGCTGCCAAGCAAGGTTAAAGAATAAACCATAGCAGGGGTGAAGACAAGGATTCATAACTTTCCCAAGGTTATTTGTGCGTAATAAACTTCGTAATAAACTTGACTGGAATTCGAACTCGGCTCTCCGAATTCTCATTCTGAATGTTCTTATTTCTCGTTCTTTTATTGTCCTCTTTCCTTAATAGCAGATTTTTTTTCATATTCTCTAACACCCAGTATCCTCTTGCGTCCTAGTGGCTTTATTGCCTTTCTTGGGGTGAAATGATTCTTAAAGGTTCCCAATTGAATAAAAATTTCTATCTAATTAATTAATTTATTTGTTTGTCTATTTTTTTCAATCAATTCAACACTTGTAGCTTTTATTCGTGAATGCCCGACAGCATTTCAATCTGAAGCAACGATCTCCAAATCACACACAACAGGTAGAAAACGAGTAAGAAGATGATGTTGCGTCAGTAATTCAATCGATAGAACTTACAAATATTCATTCAGTTATGTGCCATGCGTGATACACGCTTAGGCGATCATGTATCTTTCGATACATGACTGACGAAGCAGAATATTTTTCTCGCAGTTTGTTGCCATTTCTTTCTGCGATAGACTGGCTGCCAAGCAAGGTTAAAGAATATAGTCTGTCCTGCTATTTAACCATAGCAGTGGGGGAGAAGACAAAGATTCATACCTTTCCCAAGCATTTCAATCTGAAGCAACGATCTTCAAATCACACACAACAAGTAGAAAGCGAGTAAGATGATGTTGCGATAGAACTTAATTCAGTCAGTTATGTGCCATGAGTGATACACGCTTAAACAATCATGTATCTTTCGATGCATGACTGACGAGGCAGATTTTTTTCTCGCAGTAGATTGCTATTTCTTTCTGCAGCAGACAAGACCTTTGCCATCCAATAGAACTATAGCTGGCGGGAGAACAAGATTCATACCTTCACTAAGGGAATTAGCACCTAAGTGAAGGTAATGGATTCGACTGGAATTCGAACTCGGCTCTCTGATTCCTCAATCTAAGCCGCTATCCATTACTCCACCGTGTCTCCTTAACAATATTAGAATACAGTATTCGAATTTTATTTTATTTTTGTTTTTTATTTCGGCGGGACAAACGCCAAAGGACTGCACAAAAAGCGTCCCCTGCCTCGTGTAGGAAATACGCAACTAGTTTAGTTATATAGCAGGACATCATGTCGCTTATTTAACCACAAAACCTTGCTCGGCCACCGCACCTCAGACTCCTTATCTACAGAATTGACACTTCAGCCTCGAAAGGATTCCACCAAGATTCTATGGCTTCTCTTTGCAGAACATTTTAATTAAGAGATTTCAAATTGAATAATGTCACTCTCTCTGTTTTTATTTTAATAGTCTCTGTCTGTTAATTAATTCCACGCAAAAATAATCTGATTAAAATTGAAAAATAACACCAATATGCACAAAATTATCTTACGTCTACCTCAGCCCAGGTTAGAATGAATTAAGGATTGGCATCATATTTTTCGATTCAAAACTGTAAGAAAATCGAAAAACCTACAATAAAACTTATCTATCTAAATCTGTTCCCTTCCTTCCTTCCTTCCTTCCTTCCTATCTATCTATCTATCTATCTATCTATCTATCTATCTAGTTTTTTTCCTATCTATCTATCTATCTATCTATCTATCTATCTATCTATCTATCTAATTCTGTTCCTATCTATCTATAGATCTATTTATCTATCTATCTAGTTCTTTTCCTATCTATCTATCTATCTATCTATCTATCTATCTATCTATCTATCTATCTAAGAGGTGATATTTTGATATGAGGTAAAAATGTCTGGACTGTATTCGCTGACCATGTGCCGTTCAGCAAACTTGCGCTTATTTGTACCTCGCCTACTGACTTAGTTTACCAATTAGGTCTTGTGTTATTTACTTGAGTTCAATTAGTCGATATTGTGTATGTATGGTTCGACGATCTTTACGATGTTTGACAAAATCAAGCAACTCGGTTACATCAACAAACTTTCCGTGAAACTCGGCAAATCTGCTATTAATACGTTGCAAATATTCTTTGAATCGAATACCATGGTTTGATTTTAGTGGCATGTCCGTTTCAGGGCCGGTCGAGACTCAGTTGAAGATGATGAGCGTTCGAGACGACAAGTCACCAAGTAAACGCTTCAAGCGATTTCCGCTGCTATCTCGTTTGTAAGTTTTTTGTCTAGAAATCGCGAATCCATGAGATAGAGAGAGAGAGAGAAAGAGAGAGAGAGAGAGAAAGAGAGAGAAAGAAAGAGAGAGAAAGAGAAGAGAGAGAGAGAGAGAGAGATCTTGTACGAAACCTCAAATCCAGCATTTAGTAACTCTGTTTTTGTTTATCTCTGTTACTCTCTCGCCCGCTCAGACTGTTTTTCTCTTTCTCTTTCACGCTCTATCTCTCTTCCTGTTTCTATTTATCTACGAGAAAATTTATCTGTTCATGTCAGTCTGTCGATCTATCTATCTATCTATCTATCTATCTATCTATGAGGTTGTATTGTAAAATTACTGGATTGGACTTGCTGTAACTGTGCCGTTCAAGAAAATTGCGCTTATTGATACCTCGCCTACTGAGTTAGTTTGCCAATTAGACTTTGTGTTATTTACTTGTGTTCAATTAGTAGATATTGTGTGTATATGATTTTGCGATCTTTACGAGGTTTGACAAAATCAGGCAACTTGGTTACATCAACAAACTTTCAGTGAATCTTGGTAAATCTGCTACTAATACATGGCAAATATTCTTTGAACCGAATACGTTCTTTTCAGGGCCGGTCGAGAGTCGGCTGAAGATGATGAACATTTGAGACGACAAGTAAACGCAAGAAAATATGGTAAACGAAAATACTGTGAACTGATCTAAGATGGCCGTCACAAAACGGCCATCTTAGATCACATGAGGGTATGGGGTCATTTTTTAAATTAGGATTAGTTCAAGCGATTTTCGATGCTATCTCGTTTGTAAGTTTTTGTCTAGAAATCGCGAGTCCATGAGAGACAGATCTTGTACGAAACCTCAAATGTCGCATTTAGTAACGCTGTTTTTGCTTTTGTTTCTGTCTCTCTGTTGCCCACTCGCTCACTAAGACCGTTTCCCTCTTTCTCTGTTTCTATTCCCCTTTCTGTCAATTAATGATTGGTATTGATTAACATTGAAAATAACATCAATCTGTACAAAGGTTTCGTACCTGTACACCAGACAAGGTTAAAATAAATTAAGGGTTGGTATCGTATCTTCTCTTTTTTAAACAGTAGTAAGATGGATAAGCCTACGAGTAAATTTATATGTTCATGTCAGTCTATCTATCTATCTATCTATCTATCTATCTATCTATCTATCTCACTCTGATTCTATCTATCTATCTATCTATCTATCTATCTATCTATCTATCTATCTATCTATCTCACTCTGATTCTATCTATCTATCTATCTATCTATCTATCTATCTATCTATCTATCTATCTATCTATCTATTGTACCTATGTATGCATACATCAAATTTTCTTTCTCTCTGTCTCTTTCTATCTTTGTAACCTCTCAGTTTATTGCATTTTAATATCTGAAGTAATTAAAGCAAAGACAGACTCTTGTGGGTCAGATTGTCATCTCTATCTATAAAAAGTAGGATGTGTGTGTGTGTCTGTAACGGCCGCAATTTTTGACGGATTTGCACCAAAATTTACATACTCCAAGTTAGCGGGAAGGCCAAGACCGACTTTGCATTTCCCAACTCCCATCGATAGTGGAAATCATCGATTTTTTCATGCTTCTGTGGCACTTTTCATGTAGTTTGCGGCCATTTTGTACTGGTCAGAGTGAGAGCCAATAGCTGGCTGCCACGAATAGGCATGAAGATTCTATTAGTCAGCGTGAGAGCCAACAGCTGACTGACACGAATGTTAACTAGCATGCTAGCATGCAAAAAAAAAATCGATAACTGCATTCGTCACAGATGGGAAAAAATTAATTCTGCATGGCACTTACTCCAATTGGATCATTCGCTTGCTTAAATTCAACGTTGATTCTGATTCCGTAGAACTGGGTTGGTTGTGAAAAAGTATTTGTTGTTAACATTCTTTTTTCATTCGGTTTTTCCAGTTACGAGTCCTTTTTTAAAGCTGATCGTTTTGTGTTCATTTTGTTTAGTTCTTTTTTCGTAACAGATTTAATGTTTAGTATAGAGATTAGCAACATCAGCACGGCAAAGGGCACTCCTTTAAAGGCAAGGAAGGGCAAAAATATTTTAAGTCAAGTGATAGCGATTGCTGTATGAGTCGTACGATTTTTGAATCAAGCACGGTCAACGCCGGGTCATGCTGCTAGTCACAGATAAGTCTTGATAGTAATTTTCTAAGGACAGCTTAGATGTGGCACAAGGACAAAATAGGAGGCATCTAATGAGGATCGAACTCACTACTTGCTAACAATTACACCACGTCGAGGTGCTCAGATAAGTCTTGATATATTCCCTTAACTATTCATGGGACATCGATTGTAAATGATTGTAAAAAAGGTAAGAAGAGGGATCTCGTTAACTCACTGTGCGGCACTGTCAAAACATTAGTAACGTGGAGTTTTCAAGCACCCCATTTAAAATATTATAGACATATATTTTTTTAATCGGTATCTCCCCAATCAAGGCAGTACAGCTACTAGTATGCAAGGGATGTGGATGAATTAAGTACATAAACATCAATAATGAGGCGAAAACAAAGAGCAATCGGAAGGACAGTTGATAGCGATTGACATTGCATTTAAATTATTTCAGATTAAACTTAGTTGGAAAGCATGGAGCCGAGGGGGAGTTCCACAAGTGAGAAGTGCAGGATAAGAAACTATTAGCATAGAACTTACGGCTACATCTTGCTAGCTAAACTGTAAATTGATGAAATCTCGACACCAGTCAAGACTGGAATATATTCAAGTTACGGGTTCAAATCCGACAAGGTACCCTTTTTTTTTTATCCGATTCAGTTTCAATTTAGATTTGACAAATACTTTGAGTCTTGCCAGAATGAATATAAATTTCCCAAATGCTGTGTATTTTCTGTCAGGTCTAGGTACCATAGCGAAGAGATCACCCGAATAATTATCTTGAAAATGTTTATAAAAAAAGGCGCTGAGAAGCAACCTTACGTTGGTGAGCAAGTGACTGAAGCCGAGTCGCGAGATCAGGACGAATAATATTGCTGATTCTTCTTTGGATTTTATCAAGGAGCTCAAGGTAAATAGCAGGGGCACCGAACTATATATAATCGCAATATTCTAATCCCGGGATGAATGCTAGACTTATAGACATGCAAAAATATATTCCGGAGAGTAAAACTGCCTCGCCCGACACAGGGAACCGACTTTCTTAGCAGCTGATCTGGCGATGGATTCAAACTAATCTTTCCAACTCATTTCAGCTGAGAACGTTAGCCTGAGAAGGCGCAATGGGTCACTTTCTTGGAGGTTAGCATCAGTCATGCTGATGGAAGACAGAGATGCATCTCTCAGATGATTAATGGAGAGTAGTTTAGTTTCGGAGGCCTTAAAATTGACAAGCCAACCTTTTTTTTTCAGTTAACGACAGTCTTGAACTCTTAATTTTCTTGTTATATAACGTCTTGAGGGCTCTTTCTGGTTATTATAGGATAAATAAAAATGAAACAATAAAAAAGTTTTTTTTTTATAAAATCCGATTAAAATGCCAATGTTTAAAAATTAATTTGTGAGATTCAAAATAGATTTTATTTTAACTTCGGTACCATCTTTTATAAGATTACAATCAATCGAACACATTTAGGATCTTACATTGCTAAGCAAATTAAAAAGCCCGGGCATTTCGCTAGAAACAATGTAAATAGTGCTGAACTGTTATGTAATATCGGTCCTCTTATATAGTGAATGCTGGACAAAGTCCTCAGAACTGAAGATAAATCTGGAAGATGCTGAGAATACCATGAACAAACCACATAAGCAACAAAGAAATTATACTCAGAACCAGAAAGAGGCAGTTGAAATTTCAGGAACATATATCGAGGAAGCGGGGCTTGGTGAATATGACACTCACAGGACATATCGAAGGCAAAAGGAACAGGGGAGACAGCAGGCTATTTACCTGACGAGCTAGGATGGCAAAACTTGTAGGTGGAAGGCTTGACAAAGGGACAAAAGTTGCTAAGGGCTACAATGTATAGGAGGTTATGCAGAGCCATGATCAACAACGTCCTGAAAAGATCCGGCGTATAAAAGCAGAAGAATCAATGAATGCGAATGATCTTTGCATTACAGGGTACCTTTACGGTCGTGGGGCTATAATGCACAAAATCATATTTCACTAAATCAAGAACCTCTTCGTAGTTATTTGGCAGATTTATTCAGATAGCTACCTGAATAATTTGGAAAATTTGACTTGCCACTTGGAAAATATTAGGGAAAATAAAAATGGATTGTTCGAGCACTCCACTGAATTACCCGAGGATTAACATCATCACGTCGCGCGAGTTATATGAATTAATTTCATGATTTAGACAGGGCCTTTATACGAGATTGGAATGTATTCAGGTTAAGGGCTCAAATCCGACAATTTTTTTTTTAATCCTGATTCATTTTCTATTTAGATTTGACAAATATTTTAATCCTTGCCAGAATTAACATAAATTTCCCGAATGCCGTGTACTTTCCGTCAATCCACACAAGGGGATTGTTCTGATCTTAGAACCAAAGCAAAAATAAAATTCCCACAAAACGTTGATAGTACAAAGGTTCAAGCAGTCATTATGCACGTAAACGAAGCCATTATAGAAACATCTTTCCGGTACCATGTCCCTTCAGGGCGTTGGCGAGCCACAATTCCCTGCCCTTTGTCGCTTTTAGTAAGTCTTGTCTTTCTTTATATCTCTTCTAAACCCTGTTCTGCCAACCATTTACAAAAACTCGTTGGGTAGGTTATGTGCTGTTTTCCTCTGCCCCCCCCAGTATATCCTGTGAGTGTCAAATCTTCCAAGCCTATTTTCCTCGTTATGTTCTTTGAAAGTGTCAGCTGTCTTTTTTTGATGTTACGTCCCATCTTTGTTACCTTTTTTCTCTAAAAGTCCGTCGTTACTCACATGTTCAGTCCATGGTATTCTCAGCGTCTTTCTGTAGAACCACGTTTCTGTTGCTTTAAGTCTGTTCTTCATCTTTAATGAGATTTTCCAGAATTCACAGCCATATAGGTAGATTGATATTACTTAACAGTTCAATTCTCTTTTCTTTGACTCTAACCAAACGTATTATAGAATAAAATAAAATAATAGGATGAATTTTTCTACTTCCGGTCACGAACAAATCTCGTGGTTTTGCGAGACCTACTCTCAAGAGGATACTTTTTCGAACATTGTAATCTTAACCTGTTCAAGTCTATGGTCAACCGTTACACACGAATCATATAAAAGCCTTACAGACAGATCATGTTGAAACACTGCTTCCCGAAAGAATCATCGAAGTTAAGCAACGTCTAGCT